ACTTTGCTTTTCTTCAGATATTCATTCACCAGTTACTTAAACACCATCTGTGAATCATGTTGAATTTAGATGACACCGAAAGGTTTTTTTTTTCTTCTCTTTGATCAAAGTTCAACGATTAAAATTCGATCGAATCATCAGACAAGTTTCTTTTTTAAGACATTAGAAGTACATAAGCAATAGTTTTATTCATGAGTAAAGAACAACGTCGAGCATAGGAAAATCCCAATGTTATCAAGAGTGAATAGTTCACAGATTCTTTTCATGGAAAAACTGAACATCAAGAAAATTCAATATACTTCATTACGAAGCGAACATGTTTTTTAGTAGACTTACTCAACGTTTCGCTTCTTCTTGTTGTCTGATGAGAAAAGTGTTCATGAAAAATTTTCCCAACATTTATGGCTAGAGACAACAACATTAGTGATGTTTACTTCAAAAATGATGCTTTCTAAAAGCTTAATTTAAAAAAAACATTCTCAGAATGATGAAAACTCGTGTAGTTGTTAAATTTCTATGAATCCAAAATATTTTGTAGCCTTTTCAAACAATATACTTATCCTAGCAGCTCTATTTCACCTTTCAACCAAGAAGCTTCTCGGGCAGACCATAATTTTCGATAACTGAAGGGACAGTCGCCAAGCTCTGGATACTTCTGTGTATGATCGTGATAAGCCAGATCTTAAAATATTACTATCCATGCCAAAATTTAATAAGGGTAAGTGTACCCTCAATAACTAGAAAACAGCAACAGCTAGCCACCTGTAGGTTTTACTTATCGAAAGAAGAGAACTTCAAACGTTTTTGTCTGATGCTATATAAGGCAAAATTATTTCAAATCCTATTATCTTCACAAACATGCATGAAAATGGTGTTCAATAATGTGCTAAAAATCAATAGAATTTATAGAACTTGACTGAAAACCTATTCGATTTTGTTTGCTCAAAATGGAAATGTGAGACGATTATCATCTGAATCGTGCTTTGAAATTATAGATCTAAAGTACATATTAAAATTATACGAAAATAGAACACCACTTTCGCCTGCTTCTTTTTGAATGTTTTGTGCAGATGATCTGTTTTAAGATAATTTTATTTTATTTAGAAACAAACAAAAAGGTGCACAGAGTTCTTCTCTTTCGATTATTGGAAACTGAAGGTGACTACCTATTCATATTGTCGAGCTATTGATCCTACACCTACTTTTCTTTAATTTTGGCCTGCACATTAACTAAGACTGAGCCTCAGTTGGTCAATATTAGTTAGGGCTTCAGGATCACGAGTCTTCGCATTTCGCTGTCTAAGATAGATTTCACATAAGCCTTAGTCTCCTCATAAATGTAACGTCTATTTTACTCTCCTTCGTTCCACAAACGCCGATTGTAAAAAGCTAAATAGGAAAATCGTTATTTAATAAATCAATACAGTGCAATTAAGAGAAAAATGTGTACAACTATATAGAAACTTGTAGAATGTCATTAGACAACAGAGACGAGATTGGTTCGTGGTCTTTTGAAACAGAACCGGCTTAAGTTTTTAGAAAGTTTGAAGAGATGAAATAGACAAAATAAAAGTTTGGTGTCTAAACTATACTCTCAAGAGTCGAGGTTTAAAAAATTTATTCAAATTATATATTAATTCGACCAAGACTAATATCAAACAAAAAAAAGTTTCAGTAAAATACAATTTCTCTATAATTTGATTTCGTCAGATGATAAAATGAGAACTATGAATCATTTAAGGTTTCTGATAATTGTTTAAAAGATGGCTTAAGTCAAACAAAAATAAGTTACATCAAGTACGCTCAAAAACGATGAAATATCATATATGATACTTATTCATTCGAGAACATTGTTCGTTGTATTCTTAATTTGATAAGAATAAGTCAAATGTGATGATAAATCTCCCTTATTTACGTCAAATAGTATACAATTTTCAATTGCTAATAACTATTCAAAAGTTCTTCCATTACAACATGATACAAATCGAAGATTTACTATCTTTTAAATATTCTATTGTTTGCATATTACTCATTAATTAACACCAAGAAGAGAATTTTATTATGTTTGAAATATTTATAAAACGCTTGAATACATAATTAAAAACGAACAATCAATAAAATCTTTTATAGTGTCTTATTCAATGCCAAATTTTATGCAACCGATTTCGAGGAATAATGATAGCAATAGTATCTTTGCCAAAAGAAAATTTACTTAAATAATAATAAATTAAAATAAAATATATAGTAAACTTATTTCAAAGTTATTAGCTTTTTCATTAATAAATACCATCGTTCATATACGTCAACAGAGTGAGCGCAAGTAAAAAGACAATCAGAATTCGACGACTCATAGAAGTATTTTGAATATAATTATTGATATGTTAGAAAAATGTTACTCCTTTTTAAAGTTGATAGTGACTAATTTGTATACTCAATATTATGATCATGATAAAATATCTTTCTACTTTTTTTATTTTGTAAATTACTCATTATTTTAACTATGCAGTACATCTTATATATTAGTTAGTAAATAGTTTGAGGACATTGCCAAATATAGTATCAATATCTTTGAATGAATTCTTACTTCTGATTTACTTTCTTATTGCAATGTTTGTACCAATCAGACAAAAGACATAGGTGAACAGAACGAAAACCTCCGCTATTCTATGTCTTCTTCTTTTCATTTTGTACTTGAACGAACACGTACCAAATGTTTATCACATATATATATTGATATTAATGTTTCATGCTTTTTTATTTGAATTTCAATGGAATATTTATGGTTTTTTTTTAGGCATTTAAAATTTTTTTCCAATTCATATGTAAAATAAACGTCAGTTCATCAAATAGAATTTATTACCATTTGCTTCTATAATTAATGAAAAGTATCAGAAAACTGATATTAAATGACAAGAAAAACCTTAGTTTGGACAAGAAAAATCAATAGATTAATTACATATAGAATAATTCATATTATTATTTTTATAAAATCTTTGCGTGCCAATTTACGTAACAACTTTCGATCGAACATACAAAGCAAGTATGAAACTATTAATTACTTAGAAGGACATCTTTCGAATTGATTCATCGCTTGTGATTCCATGTTTAGTCTATAAATAGCAGATCTGTTGACTAGATAAAGTTCAAGATGATATAGGACCATGTTATGATTCGACTGAGACAGAGAAGGAAATTTTTATACCAACGAACCTATAATTGTAGCCTTGATTTATGCCAAGTTTCATGTCAAAGTTCGAAAATACGGCTTTACTGAAAAACTAGGTTCCTATAGGAAAGTTTTAGTAAAACTTTTCTGTCTCGATCAAATCACAACATGATCTTATATCATCTGAGACTTTTCCTATAATCTTCAGATCTGCTATTTATAAGCAACGTACGAAATTAAAAGCGACGAATCATTTCGATTAGTTCTTCTGTTAAGCATATTACGCAGAACATACTTGTACAAAAATAATTATGCATTAAGTATAGATGAATTAATTTTTATTGATGTTTCTGTTTATCATCGGAAATTTTTAATGATAATATAAAACCTTGAAAGGTGTAGACCAATAATTTTTTTCAAATGATTTTATTTCGATACAAACAAGACTGATGTCATTATTAATGAAAAAAAAACTTTGATAAGTAAGTTTATTTGAATAAGTATTTTCTACTTATAAAAATAGAAGAATTTTATTTTTTCTACAGATTAAATACTGAATATAAATTACAGCAATTCTCATAAAAGAAAAATAGGATTCGATTGAATACTTTGACTTATGAATTACTTAATTGGATTCAATTTGAAGAATTAAATCAGATACATTTGTTTTTTATAATTTTAATTACTGCCATCAAATAGAGAAGTATGGTAATATATCTGATAGAAAACTGATATATCTCTTCTCTGTGTTATGAATGTTTTAGCATAGTTCAAAACTAAAAAGTTATGTAGATAATTCATATTGAAAAAAACGATGTTACTAACTTTCATTGGTCTCTAGCAGATTTCGATCGTAAAAAGTACGATATGAGTCAAAACGAATAACATATTTGAAGCAGCATAAAAAAACTAAGTCGATTTATATATGGTTCGAAGTTTTTCGACGAACTATATTTTTTTTTGAAAAACTTCAGCAGGCGAGCTCTTTAGCGCCGATTCAAATAAAATTGAATTTAATCAAAATACTATTTTTATTATTAAGTTATTTGGTCTTTGGTGTTTTACTGACGGTTCACAGATACAAAAATTGTTTTTCACTGATCAGATGATTTTTTAATAAGATTGATTTTTTCATTAGAGCTTGAGAAAATCCCAGTTAAATCTTTTCGAGATAAGAACGTTTGCTGAAAATTCTACGATCGAAATCTTTTAAAGAGCGACGAAAGTATCTAAAGGAAATTGAATTTGTCTTATTAAACAAAGGCTACTTCTGAAAAAAATCTGAATGATCTACTTTTATAATTCGCTATTGAAGCTTTCCGAATCGATCAATACTCTACACATTTTTTTTTGTCTTCCTTTCACGAAATATTAAGAAAACAATGGCAAAAATTCACCCAAATGTTAACATAATTATATGATTTTCATACTCATTTGAATCAAATTATTTTGCAACATGTAAACCGTTCGAATGAAATTTTTCATCAAAAGTATAAGATGGAGAGTTGATTGACATAACTTTCAACTGAAAATATCATAGTATGGATAAAATTTACATAAGTCACCATTCCATGTATGCATCATGCGCTACATACAAACATGAATATGAATAATTTCAGAAAAAGAAGAATTTGAATCCATCAGGCATAGAGAAAAATGCCTCAAATAATCTCCTGTCCTTTATTTTTATGAAAGTCAATACATTAAATAAATATGAATATTATTTGTTAAGACAAATTCAAAAACTAAAGACTTGAGCAAGATCAGATTAGTGTAAGAAAAATAGTATTAGTATTATTATAAAGAAGATCAAATAAAGTATATAATTAATAAATTATTTTGAAACTTTATTCAACAACATATTCAATGTTCTTTGCATATTGTTTATTGTATTATTCATATTTATGTTCATTGCCATAAGTTCCTCTTTCATATCATTTATGTTAACTTTCATTGTCTGCAATTCTTCGGTAACTTCAGATGTTTGAACACTTGTGTTACGTTGTAAAGCGATTATATCAATTTGATCAACACAGTTATCGACTAGTTGTGCTTGTTGTTGCTTAGTTTCATGAAGCGAATGTATTGACTGAAATAGTTGTCGCTGTATTTGAAGATACCGAACAGCTGATACAGTTACATTTTTCTTTTTCATATGCCAAACTTTAAATGCATATTTAATCACATTTGCTGCTTCCATTTTACGTTTTTTTGATAATTCAATATTTAATACAAAATTATGCACATATTTTTCCGACCGATTCATCATAAGTTTTTGTGCAAGAACACTGATGAGGAGAGCAGTTGAAAGGACACCAATCAAGCCAATCATAGCAGCAATAGCTAATAATGATAAAAAAATCAAAGTTTTTTTCATACATCAAAATTTAAGACATTTTTTTTTTGTGTTATCTTAAATTATATTTTACTTACTTCGTCCACAATATGTAGAAGGTGTAAAGTCTCCATAGCCAACAGTAGCAAATGTTATAACAAATAACCACATTGCATTTTGCATTGTAAAATGTTCATCAGTTGATGAGTAAGAACATGCACGTAAAGACCAACTTCCAACAAGAAAGACAATTATACAAAATGCCGTTAAACAACGTGTTGGCCATTGTTGAAGATAAGTTTTGATGAGAAAGAAGTAATCAATTGATACTTTATTAAGATAGCCAACAGATCGTGATGATGCATCACGAAATAGATGAGAATGAAACATAATAAAACGCCAAAGCAAATAAAGACGAAGAAACACTATTAAGATATTTAGTTTTCAATTTCATGAAGAAAAACAAAATATTGATACTTACTTGGTAAACCAAGTGCTACATCGACAGATGCATAAGACAAAGGATGAGGAGTAATTGTAGAATCATTTGAGCTTGTATCTTCTGATGGTGTATTTGAATGACGAGGGAAAGAGCGAGGCATTGGATGTACTGCACAAATTATTATTTCAGCTAGAACGCAGAATATTCTCTCGTATGTTATTGCAACACGAAAATCTTCAATTGAATTATTAACAGCATAGAGAGAGATATCTAAACGATGATATTCGATGATAAAACCAAGAAGAATAAGTGTTGATAAACTAATAACTATTTTGATAGACCAACTTGCTATGGTTTCGTGATTATCAGTATAATAAAATGTTAATTCATTTTCAATAATCATAAGAATAATTCCCAACATACCAAGAATAAACATAATATCAGTTACGATAGTACTAGAATAAAGAAAAAAAATAATAAAGCAACAAACATACATATGTCATACAGTCTTTTATGTAAGTTTTTTCGTTTGGTTAATCGACGACTGAGCTTAGCGAATTCTGCATGTCCAATACTCTTACATCTGTTAACAGTTTTAGGATGAATTTTTTGTTCGTCAGAAACATCTGAATCCATTGCAATTATCGTTCTAGAAGGTACTGGAGCTGTGTCTATCGAGTCGCTCTTTTGAATAGGTGATGAAGAGGCATCACTAATGGTACCATCCAATTGTATACAAGTATCGTTAATAATTGTCATGTTATATTTATCTGAAAAAAGTAAATATATTTACTAAGACTATCATAGATAATAATAAAAAAAAATATTACTTTATTATACCAAGATTTGTGTAAGTTCTTCTTTCACATAAAATTGAACAAATCTAAAGAGTAATCAAAAATTTATAGTAAAGGTGTCTCATAAAAGTATTTTCTGTTTATACTCTTATTTGTATTATGAAAATATTTTATTGAAAGGGTATTCAAATTTTTTTGCCTCATAAGTTTTCAACAACTATTCAAAATTGTATCTCACTGAAAACTCATTTCGATAATTTTTGTATGATAACGCTTACACAAATCGGAAGATATTTATTCTATCTTTTTTTAATACTAGTCATCCCCTATCAACAATAACAATATTTTTTTTTGTTGCCACTAGTCACATTATCCTATATGGATAAAACGATTGATTAGTTATGTCGTAGATAGGTAATCATATTATCGAATTTTCATTCATCGATATATATAAGCGACAACGGGTTAGTTTCAACATAATTGAGAAGCAGAAAAAAAACGCTTTTATATTAATCACGCGTCATAATATCTAGATAATTGTGAAGAGGTACTAACTAACGATGGCGTATCGGGCTTTAATGTGTGCTTCACCTGTCACGATCAAAAAGAGAAAACAAAATTGTGTCTCTCGTTTGTTTTGTTTTGTCTAAGATGCAGGCTGACGATATAGATTCATCTTAAACTTTTAATGTTGACAAACTTTCATGCTTCAAGTACAATGACCGAACTCATTATTGACATTTATGATTATGGAATATTATCCATTAAGAGAAAATTCATACTTTCGTTTGTCTTGTGTCGAATAAATTTGATTAGAATTATTCGAAAACAGATTTTCTTTTTTTTTTGTCTTACTCAATTTGAATTTTCGTATACAAGCTTTAATGCGTTTTTTTTCTGATTATATTGAAAAAAAAATTGAATTTTTAAATTCATTGGAATGGAATATTTAATTTATTTCAAATAAAAAATATGTTGACTTCACATGTTGAATGTACTTTTTAAATGTCAAAGTGTGTTTTGATTATAACGCCTCATTATTAGTCATTAATCTTTGCTCTATTGTTTTTCGATTTTTTTTTTGAGAGAAAAGTCCACGAAGATTCTTTCTGGCTTTGAAGTTCAGCAATGAGTCTTTCTATCAATAAATCGAGCCATTGAAAGATTCTTATCGAAATTGCAAGATTGATATTTGCATTTGTTTTTCTTCGCTCTATATATATTTCGTTACAATCATTTCTTTGTTTATTTATACAACGTACGGTAAACAAACAGCTTAATCAAATACATTAGGATTATAGTAATATGTGATGTCTACATATTGTAAATAAGGATAAATATATCAATATACAATAAGAAAACTTTGTTGTAGTTTATTTTGTTTCTGATATTCAGCTGAATGCTATTTGATGCAATATATTTCACGTGTAATAAACTCTTCATTTTTAATGATCAAAGAGATAATGTAGTATTGAATAAATTACAATGATAAATTGTGAAATAAAATTATAATACAAAAGGATCTACTAGAACTTTCCAATTTAACATAGACATTCTATAGCTGTCTATCATATAGTATAGCTTACAATATTAAATTCTATTATGTATAACTCTTTGTGCATAACACATCTGTATTAACGTCTCGAATAATTTCTTTCATAATTTAATATAGAAACGTTTATTCATTTTTTTCTTTGCTTTTGTTGAGAGAATTCTTTCTAAATACTTATAGATCCATGATGTATATTTTTTATGTTTTTATTTAGTGGCACCCTCACTTGTAGGAAGATGCAGTTTTGTATTTACCATTTGTTAATGATCAATTATTAAGTGATGATGATAACGATACTTTCACTGAGATAAATCTTTCTTTCTTAAAATCAAATAGTAAGAAATCACCTCTGATAGTTAGTCGTGTATAAACAAGTATTTTTTTTCGTTTTTCTTTCATGCAAATTGATATTGTATCTCTGGTAATCTTTTAAAATTTTATTGGTATGGTAGTATTTTAGTATAATAACTTCTAGATTTTCATTTTTCGAGAAAAGTCAACTTGCTGAGGAGGAATCGGGAAAGTATTTTCTTTTTCTTTTAGAATCTATTATTTTTCAAGAAATAGTTAAACTATTAGACTCTAGTGCATTAATTTCATTTAAATAATTTCATCAAAATGCGATTGAATTTGAAAATACTACAAAAATAAGTACTGTACAAAAGAACATATTATTGAAACAAATTATTGAAGATCTACCATTTGACCACAAACTTGTTAAATATATTTTCATTATTTATGTGCATTTCAATAGTTTATTATAATTCATTTCAATCATCGAATATGTCAACAAAAAAAAAACAATATTAATTATTCGAAATGATTTCTTTAAAACTGGATTGCACTTAGGATGAGATTCTCGAATAGCTAACCATTGTTTTGTCTCTCAAAATTCTTTTAAGCATGAATATGGTTTTAAAGATGTTTGACTTTATTTATTTGTAATTTATTTTGTTTGAGTAATATATTCAACTGTTTGTCATTTTCAAGTTTTGATAAACCTGTTTGTTTAAGTTAAATGAATGATGTTACACGTTCATTCATCTCATTTGAATCATGAAATCTTCATCGCTGTGCAACATCACATAAATGAGGATATACCAATGATTTTTCAGTAATTTTTTCATTGTTGAATTATTCGTCAAGAATAATTAGTCAACGACAAAAGTCTTGCATGTCTTAAAATGAATTTTTTATTTGATTTTTGCCGTATAAGAATAGAATACAACACATATATATATATAGAGGAGTTCGAGACATTTACGCAGTACATAGCAGTTTTATAAGTATTTGCTTCTTCTTTGAGCAAAGTAAAAATATGTTAATACATCCATTTTTGAATGACCTGTTGAGAGATCAGATGGCTAGTGTGAAGTGAGTTCGAGTTTATAACTTTTGACCATTCAGATGGAAGAGCTTTAGCTTTGCTTCGTCAACGGGCAATACCAAGAACACTGAGCACGAAATTTCGAATTGTAATTCATTCACTACAAATCCGTCAGCTCGAAATTTTAGTCTCATATCATACAAGTCATCCAAAAATGAATGTATTCATATATTTTTACTTTGCTCAAAGAAGAAGCAAACACTTATAAAACTGCTATGTGCTGCACAAATGTCTTGAACTCCTCTGTATATATATATGTATACGTTGCATTCAGTGGCGTAGCCAGGGGTAGGGTCATTGGGCAATTGCTCATAGCTCCAAAAGTTATTGCCCACGAATTTATTGAGCTATGCAGTGCTTGAACAGTAATTGCTCACAGATATTTTTGAAATCATCAGGGTTGCCCTCAGCTGCCCATAACTCAAAATAGTTTAGCTGGTGAGTTGCCCATAACTCAAAAATTCATGGCTACGCCACTGGTTGCATTCAATTCTCATACATCAAAAATAAAATAAAAAATTCATTTTAAGACGGAGAAGACTTTTGTCATCGACTAATTTGTTAATTTTAATAGAGCGCTGCATCATTTTCATAGGTTTCATCGTTCAATTTATCATATTAAACGACAGATGTAATTGAAAATCGAATTGAATTTATATCATTCTTATAATCAGTACTAACAACAGTGAATAATTTGAAAGTTGTGATGATTTAATACTATGAAAAAATGAGCATCTATTGATACATACTTACTATTAATTTAAGTTTCACCACAAAAAAGAGACTTCGAATTTATTCATAATTTGGAAGAGATTTTCGAAGAATTTTTCAAAAACCATCACAAAATCACTGTTGGTTACGCCAGTAAAGAAAATTGTTGGACCATGTGGATGATTTTAGAACAATGAATAGGAAAAAGCTTCTTTGCTTAAATTTTATTAAATGCCACATATTCTAATGTCAACTCATTAGTTTTATAAATGCACTTTTGCAGGTAAATGTCTATTGTATGAGAACTTCTTTATATATAAAGAAAATTATAACATAGTATCAAACTTTTCTTTTCGATAAATATATTTATTTGAGTAAATGCGCATAAAAAATGTGTTCCTGGTTTACAATTGAAAGTATATATAGATTTTTTCTTTACAGAAATAGTCCAAAATTTTTCTTTGGTTCTACCACATCTCGTAATCTCTTTTTACTAGTATTAGATATATTACAATCAAATAAAACTAGTTTATTTAATGTTTGATTATACACAAGCATATTAGCAAGTGAATCAATATAAGTCTCATCGATTAATTTATTTCCCCATGAATGTAATTCTTGTAGAGTTGTATTATGATGAGCAAGAATATTTGCTAAAAATATAACACCTTGACTACTTATTTTATTAGTTGATAATCCTAATTGAGTTAAAATTTCATTTTTTTTTCAACATTTCAGATAAATATTTTGTACCCGTATCTGTAATTTGGTTTTCACCAAGAAAAAATACTTTAAGATTAGAATTATTTAATGAAAGAATTAGTGTAAGATAATAAACACCTTGATTCGATATTTTATTATTAAAAAGATTTAACATTTCTAATGTTATATTATTATTTAATGCATCAGATAAAATTTCTATACCTTCACATGTAATATTATTATAACCTAACTTAAGTTGAATACATTTTTTCTTTCGTATTGCGGAATAAATAACAATCGACATATCATGATCATTTATTTGTTGCTGTGATAAATCTATATTTAATGGATTACATTTGTCTATATATTCTTCCAATGTTTGATGCTTACGAGACGATTTGTTTAATGTCTACAAATTTTAATTGATAATATCAATTATCAAATTAAAATATGAAAAAAAAAGATGATAAATTGAAATTCATCTGTAGATGAGAATTTAAAAACCTTTCGTATATTATCTTGTTCGACTTGTTTATTACATTTATTATTTTGAAAGTTAACACAACTAAATATAACTTATTTTTTGCTGACAACATGTGAAATAAAGTATGTAATTAGTATATTTTGTACAGCGTTCGATGCTCTATCAAAATATATAATTGATTTAAATTTCATATTCTCTCCCGTTCGCATGTATTTCTCTGAATACTGAGTATGAAGTGTTAGAAAATTTTTGCCATTTAACAGAAGCCTAGTTTTATAAAAAAAAATACTAGCCGGAAATAGTTTAGGCCTACTTCTAGTTTTCCGTACCGTTTTGAGGAAATAACAAACGCAAAAAAAGCTTCGATTTGAAAGTTAATCAGTAGTGCGTTTGACTGTGCTATGTGAAAGAAGAAAAAGGATGAATTCTCCCTATTGCCACTATAAGTATGGCTATCATAATGAGAAATCTCTGAAAAATGCCTGTGTACGATTTTTTTGTTTATATATCGAAAAATGCCCATTTAATACCTTTCATTTCACGTCACCTGAATCATTCTTAGATGGATTATTTAATGCCAGGTTTATTTTTAATCTTGAGTGATACAATTTCAAAGAATAACTGTACTAGTGGCATGTCCAAGATTTTTCGGTATGCTAGATTTCACCTTCAGAGCATGGGACTCAGATGAAACGTATAGAGCTATGATATTGGACCCAAATGATGATTTTTTTATCAAAAAAGTTTTGTAATGGGATTTTGCGAAAAAAATTTGCATTTTCCTGAGTCCCACCAAGATTTTTCTTTTGCTATTAGTAGTATCCTGATTTTTAGA